ACTCTAAACGCTTACTTGCCTAACACTTGTTATGTGGGACATATTTTTTTCCAAAGGAAGAATAGCACTAGTTAGTCATTTATTCAATAAGCATTTAACTGAATAACATGGAACTATCCATACCCTGATACAAGAACACACATTCGGGGTAAAGAGTAGACTTGGAATCAAATCTGGTTGCCAATTTTGACTTAGACCATCGCCAACTAACTATGAGCTAGGCAAGTCATTTACTCCCTGCAACTGTAAAAATAATTTTAAAAAAGAAAAAGTTAATAGTGGCTAACACCTATGAATCGATATGATGAGCCCAAGTATGTTCATTTAAACTTCACAACCCTGCAGTAAGTACGATGCTTCTTCAGATAAAGAAATTTAAATTCAAAAAGTCTGTATAACAAGATCTCACAGTACCAGAGGGCATTGCGGCCGGCTGGCTCCACAGTGCTCAGGGGCCGGGGGGACACTGATATCCGTCTTGCAGATCTGTTCCAACAGCTGGAGTCAGTATACGCGGTTTCAGCCAGTGGTAGGTACTAGACATACCCTGTGTTGGGCCCTGGAAGACGTTAGTTACATTCGTCACTAAGCCGTGGTCCCTGGCCTGTGGGAGCACGCACAATCACGATACAACACTGAGTCCTCCATGGACACCTGATCTTTCGGTATGGTCTTCATGGCACACAGTGGAAGGGAAGGAGGAAGAGAACAGAATTTTACAAACGGGGCTCCAGACTGTGAGGCAGATGGGATGAGGGGTCTTATTTCTATATGAACAAATGAGATAGGGTTCCGAGAGGTTCGGAAAGGCACCCCAGGTCACACAGCAGCACAGGGAACTGGTGTCACAACTATGTTTCCCGCTGTGGCATCCCTGCCCCCTTCCTGCTCCTCCGACCCTGTCATGGCATCAACAGGTTGTTGAAGGGCGGTGGTGATGGGGTGGAGCAGACAAAAGCTCCAAGAATCTGAAGACGTTCGAGATGCACAACCTCTCACCGAGCCCGTTCTCTTCCTGTCTCCTCCCAGCCTGGCACAAGTCAGCTCCTTGTCCTGGGTCCGATGGCTGGGTGCTATTTCCCAGACCTCAAATTTCTGCAGCTATTTTTAGCTGTACTTTGAGTGCATTCCTGAGACAGGTGAGGCCTGCAGAGGAATGTAGGTGTGGGTAACCCTTGAATCTCTAGTGCCCCGTCTGAGTCTCTGAGTCTTGTTCCAGTTACAGGTGTCTCACACCCTGATGTGCTATCCGCCCTGAGGCTAGATTTCACCTTCTGAATTGCATGGATCAGACCTTCTTGTACAGTCTCTTCATTTAGCATTAGGGACATATTTTTTGACGTTTTGTGACCTGCCTTTGATACCCTGAATTCCTTCATTTTTTGTAACCGACACCACCCAGCAATGTGGTTCTTTCTGAGCCCATTTCCCAGGGCTCTGAGGGACTTGGGCTAGACCAAGTCTCCTACTGGGGCTGGTGGAAACTCTGCGGGCGGGAAGCTGCCTGCAAAGTCTCTGGCTCTTAAGCCAAACTCTGGGATATTCATAATGTTTTTCAGACTGAGGCAGAATCACAATCCAGTTGACTCTAGACCCCTAGCAACAAGTGAAATTCTCTGAGTGCCCTGGGCTTCTGGGCCCATGGAATCCTAGGGCCTTTCCTAAGACAGAAAGTCGTCTTCCACATTCACCCTCACAGAAGTAAAACGGATACCATATTCCATCAACTGCATACAACAAATGCTATATAAGTCAACTTTATGAGTAAGTGGGAAGAGGAAATTTTTTTCTGGGCTGGCATTATGTGACTATTGGAAGATACTCCCTTTATTAAGTCATAAAAGTTTATGTATTTACTCACAACTGGGGAGAGGGAAGATTGTTTCAAGGTTCAGTTTCTTAAATCAGGAAATGTGGGTCTAAAAAATTATTAAATCTAGATCCTTTGACATATTGACTCTAAAGGCAATTTACATTTCACTGAACAGAATGTCATTTTGCTTGTTTTTTGTATTTCTGCATATCCCATCCCATACTTCTGAAGAACCATCTCCTCTGTCTTCTCTACTTTCTTTGTAACCAATTCTATCCACCATTTCTATTCCACCATATAATCTTAAATCCAAAAGAATGTACGAGTCAACAGACACCCTGTAGTGGGTTTCCCCCAAAAAATTCATGTCTACCCAAAACCTCAATGGCCAACCTTATTGGAAATAAATCATCACCCACGAGGCCATACTGGATTACGGTAACCCTAAACCCAATGACTAGTACCCTTCTAAGGCCACATGAAGACACAAAGACCCACAGGACATAAAGCCCTGTGAAGATGGAGGCAGAAGCTGGAACTGTGTTGCCCCAGCCAAGAGCCCCCAACATTTCCGGCAGCCACCAGAAGCCAGGAAGTGTTCTCCAGAGGCTTCAGGTAGAGCGCGGAGCAACTCGACTCTAGACTTATAGAATCCAGAACTGGGAGAAAATTAATTTCTGCTGTTTTAAGATACAACCAGTTGATGGCATTGTGTTTCAGGGGTTTCAGGAATGAGCACACACCACAGTGAGTTTCAGCAGTGAGACCTCACAACAGAAGGCAAGTGAACACAAAGATGGCTGACCTGGAGAGATGACCCAAAGCCTTGCTCTTATCTGTGACAGCATCTCATGCACTTCTGTACCTCCTGTCCTTCACAATGGCCTCTGCTTTTGGGGGGTTTTTGGTTTCGTCCTTGAGACAGTCTCACTACATAGTCCAGGTTGGCCTTCAACTCACAACCATCCTCCTGCCTCAGCCTCCCACGTGCTAGGGTTACAGATGTGTGTCCCCACACCCACCTCGCTTCTTTGTTTTTTACTTGGAATTCTAGCTCATGCTCTGGGCCTATTAATAAACCTGATGGTATGTGGTGCACAATCCTTTCATGAGGTCTTATCTTCCCATCCAAGCAGAATATAATCACATATCTACTTTAGAGACAACAGCTCAACTCGAGAGCTGTGGTTTGGGTTGTTTTGCTCTTTTATGGGTCTGGAGATTGAACCCAGGTCCTCTCACATGCTACACAAGATCTCTACCACTGAGCTACATGCTCAGCCCTGGGGCAGTGGTTTTTAACCTGTTATCTCCCCAGAAATACGCACGTCTCAGGGCTCCCCGGGCCCCGGGTTGGAGACCACCTATAAAGAAAGTTCAGATATCCTCCAGGGTAACTCCAACCGCTCCTCCTGACCCCCCAGTGCTACCCCAATCCAGTTCAACTTGTTTCTGAAGTTCACCACTAAGTTGAAGCAACCGCCATCCATCGGGTGAGATAAACCTGCTGTCCATACAGAGCTGCCCTGGGGTCCTATCAGTCTCTGTGTCAGCAGAGAATCAGCTCCAAGCTGTAGGCACAAAGCCTAAGTCACAAGTATCACACCATTCAACTATCTGCCTGTTTCTACCCCTTTCTTTTACTTTTTCAATGTCCTGATTCCTCTATCTTATCCTTCTTTCAAATGCAGCATAATTAACAGCAATGAAATTTACAAGAAGCTAAACAAAATAAGCCATGTGCTGGGTTTCTATTCACAAAGCCCAGTATACACAGGCTTCATCTCATCAGGGTACATCTGTAGTAGCAGTACTAGGGATTGAACCTTGAGCCCTCTACCAATAAGCAACACCCTCAGCCCTTTTTAGTGAGAGGTCTTGCTATGCTGCCCAGGCGGACCTCAAACTTGCAATCCTCCTGTCTCAGCCTTCTGAGTAGCTGGCATTACAGGTGTACATCAATGTGCACGACTTCACCTGTGGTATGCGTGTGTGAGTGTGTGTATTTTTTGTTTGTTGTTTGGGTTTTTGAGATGGGATCTCGCTTTCATTTCAGGCTGGGCTTGAATTCACACAGGCTAGAGTCAAACAGCAATCCTCCTGCCTCAGCCTTCCGAGTGCTGGGATTAAAGGTGTGCATCACCACACCAGGCTCACTTGCATACTTAAAAAAGTTCTGCCTGCATGGAATGGATCAGCCTGGAACACAGAGAATGTTATTGCGTTGTAATTTTCTCACCAGATGCTGCAACTTTTAGAACATATTTTTCCTTCAAGGTGCACATGGAAAGTTTCCTTTCTTCCAAACTTCATTCCCTATCTTAATCCTTCCCAGTTGGAATCTCTTCACCCTGGCTCTGCCAATCCAGATACATTTTCTTCTCAAAATTAGTAAGAGTCGAAAAAAATTACCAGGCATTTTACAAAACTCCTCAGGACACAAGACTGCCTATGGCTGGGAGCTGAAAGCTGTCCCTGATGACCAGCAACCCCCCCGCTCAGCCAGGCCTCCAGGGCCATTGGTGACTTCTTTGCCAGCTCAGCACAGGCAACAGCGACAAGGGGACAAGAGCAGGTCTCGGAACGACCCCACGCTGCTCATGCACTGCTGCTACTCGTGTCAACAGGGGACAGGAGACCACAAGATAAACCAGTCTTCCTGACACCTGCCTGAGCTGGGAGTCATGGGAGTGAATGTATTTAGGGAGCTAAAGACGTTTACGGTCCTACTAATGGGATCTGCTCCACCCCCAAGAAAAACACAGTGTCCTTTTAAGAACTTCCCCTTCAAAGCTAACCATCATACTGCTCCTTTTATGTTTACTTTAATTGAAAACAACCAATAAATGAGCCGCTTCACCACCACATTCTTACCTTTTCTTCAGAGAAGAGAACTCATTGAACTGCCCACTTGGGACTCAAATTAGCAATCCTGGCAAGGCATAGTAGTACACACCTGTAATCCCAGCACTTAGGAGGCTGAGGCAGGAGAATCACTGTGAGTTCAAGGTCAGCCTGTGCAAAATGAGACCCTGCCGTAAAAGAAGCAAAACCAAAAAAACCTTGCAATCCTCCTCCAGCACTGGGATTAAAGGCACCAGCATACCCTGCAGCAAAATCTCACCTAAATCTAAAAGCCCTTTAATAGCAAGGTCTCCAAGAAGTCTAAATCTTTTCAAAATAATATTTAAGTTTATTATTTTACATGGGGCCCATGAAGCACAAGCTCAACTGGCCTAACTACAATCGTCTTTGAGTTACAGTGACCGGCCGTGTGTCCGTCACCCAAGTCCTTGACCTACAGCTGAAAAAGGCAAAAGGTCTGTGAAGTGAGCGCAGGGAGCTGAAGCCGAAGAACCGCTAGTCTTGCCATCCGCACGTCAACACCAGCCGGCAGCGATGACCCCGCTCAGAGGGGTGTGTGCCCCACTGCTGAGCAGCTCCAGCTGCCGGACGACTCAGATTCCGCCCCGAGGAGCTCCAGTGGAGGCGTCTCTCCTCTCCAATCCCTGCTTACACTGAGCGGGACACGAGCCCTTGTGACAGTGACTAACGGCCTTTCCGCTTCTTCATCTTCCCTCCGGCCACCTTGTTCCGGACCCCGACGGCGCCCTCCATGTCATCGTTGTCCCCGGCATCCTCTCGCGGGCGTTTCTTCTTTTCACCATGTTCCCTTAACTCCTGCAGGAGGCAGAAAGGCGAGTGTGAGTGAGTCACGGTCACTGCAGGTAACGCCGTCCAGCCCCTGCCCTTCAGATCAGGCACCGAGAAACTCCCCAAGCCCCGATCCTGGAAAGGAGCGAGACCCAACTGCCACTGTGCCAGCCTTAGCAGTGAGCAAAGCGTGACCTCCACCAGGCAGGCGGGCAGAGATTTAAGACGGAGATCGGGAAGGGAAGGAAAACAAGTGCTACTGTGCACAGATGCGCCAACTCCCCGCAGTGAATGGAATTGTCACGTACTACGAACGTGTGTGAATAAAGATTACGAAACTGGAAAAATAGCCCAGTATTAGTCAGGGTGTGGCAAAATCTACCTCTAATTTGGCACTCTCTATAAATTCAACTTTTGTCTGTGTGTGCTTCTTGGCCTAAGTGTTCCACCTCTAGGAATGTAAGGGAACAAGTATACAAAACTACACACATTAGGATATGCAACTCAATACTAGTTAAAATTTGAAAAGCTGGAAAAAAGAACAAACATCCATCAGTGTAAATCATGTTACATACATGTGATGGAATTCCTTGTAGCCACCAAGAAGGGGAAGGGAAGGTTAGGGGTGCTAAAGTGGGGACATAAAGGGTCACAGCCCAGTGTGGTGGCACACAACTGTAATCTCAGCACTTCGAGAGGCTCAGGCAGAAGGACACAAATTTAAGCCTATCCTGGGCAACTCAGCAGGACCCTGTCTCAAACATTTTCAAAAGAGCTGAGGATGGAGCTCATTGTGAAGGCCCAGGGTTCAATACAAATTCCACTCATGGCTAAAGAAGGAAAAATAACCAAGTGTTATCAACAGTTCTCTAAGGGGAGCTAACTTTCCATTTACTACTTTTGTTGTTGTTGCTGTCGTTTTGAGACAGGGTCTCACTATACAGTTCAGGCTAGCCTTGCACTCACTGTGAAGCCCAGTCTGGCCTCAAACTTTTGGCAATCCTCCTGCCTCAGCCTCCCGAATGCTGGGATTACAGGTGTGTTCCACATGCCTGGCCTCATTTACTACTTTAAACCCTTTCCATATTTTCTAAATTCCTTTCCCAATGCACAGGTAGCACTTTTATCAACAAAAATAACAAACAAAAAATTCAATGTGGAGAGAGAGAGAAACTAAGCCTGCTCCTCAGCAACTCAGAAAACAACGTGTGGGCAGTTTTTCTGTCTCTCAGTCTAGAACTCAGGAAGCAGAGAACGTGCACTTCCAAAGGCTTGCTGTAGAATCTTCTCCCTGCCACGGCTGCTTCTGCCCCTACTACTACTATCCGTCATACGTATACCAGCTCCTCCAGGGCTCACCCAACACCAAGTATTAGTCCCATCTCGCAGGTGAGGAAGTGATCCTGAGAGGGAAGGTAAAACGTCCTGCCGAGCCCACACCCACAGCCCACAGCCAGGTCTTCTGACCTCAAGTCTGGAGGGTTTCTCACCACATGTAACACAACACCTGAGCACTGGCTGAGAATGGTCACGTTGGTCAGACCAGGTCCAAAGGCTGACTAGCCACAGGCTGTGTGGTCTAAAGCCCACTATCCACCTCTCTGTGCCTCAGGAATACACTGGCACCCATCGTCTCAGGCTCTGATGAGGGGTAACACAGTATCCGGTGCAGCGAGCACCGCTGCCGAGGCTGGCGAGGACGAGAGCAAGCAGCTTACCATCCGGGCAAACCTCTGGGCTTCCGTCACTCGTTCCGCCAGCAGCATCACCTCGTCATCCTGCGTTGGGAAGACAGGCAGTTTCTTCCCAATTAAGTGCTCTATGCGCTGGAAGAGCTCCACATCGTACCTGAGGGAGGGAAGTGGCGTGGCTCTGGCTGGCCCACAGCCTAGAGAGCTGTCCATTCTCTAAGTCTGAGACACTCCACGAAACGGTGCAATCGAAGGCCAGCTTTAAACAATACTGAACACAAGAACCCTTTTCTAAATACTAATCAAAAGCGATCTTGATGCGTGGCCTATTAGAAAATTAACCACAGTAGTCTTTATTCACAGAAAAGCCGTGGGTCATAAAAATGTGTTCCTTAGCAAAGAAAGATCAGACATAGTTACTCCACTCCTTCCTAGATTGAGGGGAAGGTCACCACTCTCCAACTCTGGCCACTGCAAGAAAAAGGTACCACTTTCCTTGTCCTTCTAGATACCAAAGTACACCGGGCAGGTATTGTTATTTCCATTTTAGAAATGTAAAACCCAAGATGAAGGCTTTTAAATGACTGGAAAAGGAAAAGGCAGAGCCAAGTTTCAAGTCAGTCCAGAACTCCGGACCAGAACTCCGGAACTCTGGAACTCCCCCAGCACTCTGGTCTGCTCTCCCACTGCTCCTCCCCATGCTAATCTACTTACTGTGTGACAAAAGTAATAGCCTTCCCGGAGCGCCCAGCTCTAGCCGTTCGACCTACTCGGTGAATGTAATCCTACAGCAAAATGGACAAATAAATTCAGGTTACATGGATTATACATAAACAACTAGGTATGCAAAGGCTTGCTATAAATCTATGAAAGAAAACAGGCCAGGCACTCTGAGAGGCCAAGATAGGAGCTGCAATTAAGTCCAGCCTGGGCAGCTTAGCGAGACCCTGCAAAAGCCCTTGGCTCAATCACAGTACTAAAAGAAAACACAAACACACACACACACACACACACACACACAAATTAAAGTATATCTCCATGGTTAGAGGCAGCATGATAAAGAGCTACACATCAGCTACACTTTATCTGCAAACAACACAGCCTCTCCCAGCCGTGGTTTCTATTTCTAAAATAGGGACAGAGATACATTCCCAAACACAAAGGGTACTGGGAAAATCAAATGAGACAGCACCTTATCTGTGTAGTTAAATATGAGGCCAAGAGATATAGTTCTCAAGCAGGGGCGACCGTGTCCTCCCCAGGGGACATCACCACGTCTGGGAACATTTCTGGCAGTCACACTGGCAGAGTGTGTGACACTGTCCCCCAGGGAGCAGAGAACAGGGACGCTGAGAATCCTACATGCAAGGGACAACCTCAGGACAAAGCATTCACTGTCCCAACATGGTGATGGCACCAAAGCCAAGAAACCCTGAGATTCACTAGGCAGACACTGTTACCGCTAGAGAGAGACCGGCACCGGTCAGGATCTGCCCCTCTGGGTGAGCGCAGCCAATGACTAACTCTCCTTGGCCCTCTTCGCTCACATTTACTGACGTAACAATCAGCCCTGTACAAGTCAGTAACGATGAATAAACAAGGGCTTTGACACATAACTAATTTCAGGGCAAAAAGACAGTTACAACTAAGAAAGCATGTAAGAAATAAACTTGGAGACCAGACTGCCCAGCTAGCAACAGCACCCACCTTGGAATGAGTCGGAATGTCAAAGTTGACAACGACATCCACATGCGGGATGTCCAAACCTCTGCTTGCGACATCAGTGGCCAGAAGGATGGAACGAGCCTTGGCCTTGAATTTATTAAGGGATCCTAGGCGCTTGCTCTGAAATGATGAAAAAGAAACGAGAACTCTCTAATAGGTGGGATCTGACAGGACAGGAAAATGGAAGGGAGACTATTAGGCAAGGGAAAGGGTGTAGGGACACAGGGAGATGGATAGCATCAAAATACATGCGTTGAAACCCAGTATTTAAAAAAGAAACCCAATTTTTTTTTTGGCGGGGTACCAGGAATTGAACTCAGGGACCTTGCACTTGCAAGGCAGGTGACGAACCATTGAGCTAAACCTCTGGCAAGAAACCCCATATTAACAGGCATTAATAATAAAAGTGAGAAAAAGAAATGGGAAAATGTTTAATCTTGCAAAACATACAGAATGGACACACTAAGCCCAAGAACCAAGAGAGAAAAATGTTTAGTTTTTCCCTTTAAATCCAGAATGGAGCTTCACAAGTCAAAACAAATAGATAACAAAATATTTAACAATTAGGCTATAATAGTAATACAAACTAGAGACTGTTTAATATGACAGAAACATAGCTGGAAAATAATTTATTAAAAGTCTTTAGAGACCAAAGAATCACCACTGCCACTAAGGCTAAATAAATCAATGTAAGAGCTTGCAAACCAGACCAACTATCCTTAAAATACTCCAATGTGTGCATCTCCTTGTCCTGATAAAGGAAAGTAAGCTTTCGGAGCATACTTCAAAGCCCATAAAATTAAGAGCATTTGTGGAAACCGGCATTAATGCCGTATGTTCTCCCTGGACAACTCTGCTCTGTAAGATGAGCCCGAAGAGCCCTTACCTGACTCATCTGCCCGTGGAGGGGGATGGCCGTGAACCCGAGATTTCGGAGAAGCAGGGCTGTTCTCTGAGTGTTGTTACAGGTGCTACAGAATATCATAAAGGAGTTTCCAGCCAATTCATTCAGAATATAAACCAGGTAAGTATCCTAAATTACAAACCCAAAACAAAGTATGTCATCGAACCAGAAAGAAAGGGATGAAGACCTGATATACACCCTAAGGAAGGATTACACCTCTACAGTGCTTCTCAATTAACCGCCTTCGTTGGGACTGGGTCTTGCTGTGTAGTCCAGGCTGGCCTCAAACTCACTATGTAGCCCAGCTTGGCCTTGAACTCAGGTGATCCTTCTGCCTCAGCCTCCTGAGGGCTAGGAGAAAACACGCCCCAGGAGCTTTGCACTTAACCAGTACTGTGACCCGTGTGCAAACCATGTAGCCCTGGGAAAGCAGAGCTCAGCAACCAGAAGTCCTGCTATTGAAAGCACAAATGTAGGGACTTCTCTGACCAAAAAAAAAAGAAAAGGCAGGAAGGTTGGGGGCGGGGGGATACACATAATAAGCTAAGGAAACACTCCCCTCAAGGACAGGGCTGGAAAGTAATGATATCACTACATCAGGACTTCAACACTGTGGTTTAATCCCCTGTAAATTCCCAGAATGTCTGACTTATCTGCAATAAGCACAAGAGGCAGCCTAAGAGGCAGCCTAATGCAAACACGGGGACTCCACCTTTATCTCACCCTCAGCTAATCAAGAGTTGACACATTTTCAGATGCTTTGGTGAGAAAAGGGAGAGGCAGGAATGATCAAAGTAAACACTTTACCTTGAATTTAGAGGGAATAAAAAGATAATATTGTTGTAATTTCTCCACAGTCTGGTATTTGGAAGAAACAGCACATTTCACAGGGTTCTTCAGAGCTGCTCGCTGAAGTTTTTGCACCTAAAGAAAGAAAAACAAGAACAGTGTAACAATTCCTCAATGTTCTGTTTTTATTTTAATGTATTTTTACTACTGTTTTTACGTATTAATTCTCATGAAAAAAGAAAGAGAAACGCAAATTTTACCTTCTTGGTCATGGTAGCAGAGAAGAGAAATGTCTTCCGGTCTCGGGGGATAACTTTCAAGATCTTGTCCACCTGAGGTACAAAGAGGAAAGGGTGCACATGTGACGTGTGACCGGACATGTGAAGGTGCAGACTGAGAAACTCAACACACCACTGTGGGGATGTGGGACTCAGAAGTCAGTTCAGTTCAGCTAGCATTTACTACTTACCATTTCAGATGCCATCAAGAAACATAATGCCACTCAGATAAAAAGAAGTTTAAATTAGTAGATTAAAGCTAAACTAAGAGAAAGGCCAAGAATAACATAAGCAATGAGGAGTAGGTTATCAAAGAAAAAGAAGGTACTGCAAGGTATACAGAGAGGTCTAAATTAAAGGTGTGAAAGAAACTCTGGCCTCAACATTTCTCATCTCTGAAATGCTGAGGCCCTGACAGCAGGAAGAGCACCAAGAATGGAAAAGGGTGGCAGAGATGCTGAAATTAACTGAAACTGACACAGGGCTTTCCATAAAAGGGGGTCAGCCAGCTGTGGTAATGACACCTGTAATCTCAGCATTCCTAGGAGGCTGAGGCAGGAGAATTACAAGTTTGAGCCCAGCATAGGCAAAATTTAAAAAAAAAGGGGGGGTGGGGGGGTGGGGATGTAGGTCAGGGGGAAAGCCCAGGGTTCAATTTCCCAAAAACCAAAAGTGCAAAAACCAAGACCATGAGAATAAGGAACCAAATTTAGAAATGGGAAATTTGAGATGGTCTAGGAAGAAGAAAGAAATCAAGAACTCACCTCTGTCTCAAAATCCATGTTCAGTATCCGGTCTGCTTCATCCATAACCAAGTATTTGAGAGCTCTTAAATTGAAACCTTTTGTATTTTCCAAGTGGTCAATCAATCGGCCAGGAGTTGCTACCAAGAAAGGGTAAGGAGAAAAGGCAATGTTTCAGAACCAGAACAAAAAGAAAGCGATCTACCATCCCCACACACAGCCCCAAAATTAAGAAAATAAAAAACTAGAGCCAGGGATTTAGCTCAGTGGCACTCCTCCCAAGCGCAAGGTGAGTTCGATCCCCAGGACCAAAACAAACAAACAAACAAGATTACAAAAATCGGTTCCTCAAAGACTTTCTTCCAATACTGGTAGATTTTCTCCCATTCACCACTGCCTATGTCTCTTACCTTCCTCAATTACTCACCTATCACTACGTGTGGTTTTTTTGCCAAGGCCAAAGACTGGGACATTGAATCAATTCCACCTACAATCACAGCTATACAAATAAAAGAGCACAGAAAAGACATCCTTAACTTTCTCCATAGACCACTGATCACATTTTTGGGGGTTTTGGGGTTTTGTTTTGTTTTTTTTAGGGGGTGGTGAGACAGGGTCTCACTATGTAGTTGAGACTGACCTTGAACTCACTATGTAGCCCAAGCTGGTCTCACAGCAATCCTCCTCAGACTCCCGAGTGCTGGGCTTAAAGGCATGCGCCACCACACCCGGTGATCAAGTCAATACTGTCTCTACTTATACCTGCTCTCCCTCACAAGTAATGCTTTTCCCAAAGCTGAAATACAACATCAGCTCATAGGTCAGTAACTCTTGCCAACAACACTTTCTTCTCCTCTCCTTTCGGACTCACTCTCCACCTCAGGGACACCCCAAGACTCCTCTCCTCTTTGGCACTTACTACACTGCACTCCAATCGAGGACCCCAGGGCTTCAAACTGCTCTGAGATCTGAAAGGCCAGCTCCCGGGTGGGGGTGAGAACCAGGGCAAACAAGCGTTGGGGCGTCTCCAGCAGCGCATTCAGAATGGGCAAGGCAAAGGCCCCTGTTTTTCCAGAACCAGTTTCTGCCAGCCCAATGATATCACGACCTAGAAGAAAGAGAAACAATGAATACAAAGAAATTTTCTCTGAGCTCTTCAACAACGTGATGTTAGGCATAGAGTAGCTGCTGAAGAAATACTTGATGAATTAGGGATCGAGAAAGACTGAAAAAAGAGAAAACAGAAGGTTTCTGTATGGACAAATTCAAAATTCAATGATGACATAGACAAACATACAAATATGTTACTATGGGATAGGTTTTTTGTTTTGTTTTGTTTTGGTTTTTTTTTGGTGTTTTTGAGACAGGGTCTCACTATGTAGTTGAGACTGACCTAGAACTCACTATGTAACCCAGGCTGGTCTCAACTCATAGTAGTCCTCCTGTCTCAGCCTCCCGAGTGCTGGGATTAAAGGCGGGCACCATCCCGTGCCCAGCAGGATAGGGTTTTAAAATACAGGCCCCTACAGAATACAGCGAGAACACAAGGGAAGGAGTAACTGGCCAGAAGAGCCAGGCCCACAGAGGTGAGGCCGGGGTTAAACCTGAAGTGAGGAAGGGAAGAGTACACCTGCATGAGGAAAGAGGATGGCGTTTTACAAGCGCAGCATGCAAAGAGAAATGCAGTGTGGCCGAGCACCAGTGTTACAGGGAAGGAAGAGAATGAGGCTAGACAGGAAGCTCACAGGCCACACCTGGGAATTTCACGATCAATGTTTTTGTGGCGCTAAGAATCAAACCTTGTAAGGCCATGGGAATAGCTTCAATCTGGATCTTGGTGGGCTTTGTCCATCCCAACTGGTCACAAGCTTCACACAATACATCTGTCACACCCTTAGAATTAAGAAAAAAATACCTCAGCAAAGAACAGAACATCCCATTTGATGGGGGGGGTTCTTGGTTTTTGCAACAGGGTCTTGCTATGTAGTCCAGCTGGCTTTCAACTCAGTGTGCAGCCCAGGCTGGCCTTGAACCCACAGTGATCCTCCTGCCTCAGCCTCTCTAGTCTCCCTCCTTTTCACATGACTATTTGGGCTACTCTGCAGATGACAGGCAGAGCCCTTACACCTGATTTAAAAGATACGAAGTGCACACCTTAAATCCTGCCTTTTACTTTGAGTGCCATGAGAAGGCTGCTCAAGACTTCTTTTCATTCATCAGAGACAAAGCCAAGGGCTCCAAGTGCGTTAGCGAATATAATCATCACAATTCTGCCAGGTAAGTAATTATTATCGCCCCAACGCACACGTGTAGAAACCGAGGCACCAAGAGACACTTGCCTGGGTCAGAATTCAGACCTGGTTGGTTTGACTTCAAAGCTCCTCCAGCTATAAAAAGATCGATTCAAAAAAACAAAGATCGATTCTTGCAACCTTCTAGACGACACCAAACGTCGCCACACTCAAGTGGAGAAAAGGGCAAATGGGAGCTCTCAGGGGCCAGCAGCCCTGCAACCAAATTCTGGGCGGTTTATCTGAGCTTCGGAAACAGCAGCAAACCTAAGTAGGCCCGGAGACGGTTTTGTACGCTACCAGCTGGAATCTCAGGTGACTAAGCCCTCTCTGGGCCTACCTCCAGCAGTCCAAAAGAGATATCACCATCACCCACTCTCACCAGGTCTTTAAACGTTTTGGTTTCCTCCTCCACAGAGGGCTGGGGATCTTCAGGAAGACTCTCGTGTTCCCCAGATGCCGCCATGTTGGTCGTGGGTTCCGGAAGTGGGTCGGTGTACGCGGAATGCTGGGAAATGTAGTTTGAGTTCTCCTTTGAGGGCGTGTTTCGAGCGCCCCCTGCAGGCTAGATGGTGTTGTCACCAGCCAACAGGCGAGCGAGGCTTTGCAGAAATTCAATGCTATCCTGGAACCCAGCCACTTGCAGACGTCCAAAGCCCGTCCTTTCCACGGCGCTTTCCCTTACTGCCTTCCCATTATGGTCCCCATTGTTCTAGCTGTAGAAACTTAAATGGTATTCATTTATTCAAAAATAGAGATTGATGAGCCTGCCTTAGCTAGGGCTCCGCTCTCTTGGAGAGAAGACCGATAATAAATAAATGATGATAGATCATTGCAAATTGTGACAAGTGCTACAATGTAACAAATGCAAATGAAAGTGAGGAATATCAACCAGGTGAGAAAGAGTGTAGTAATAACTAAGATTTGAACGGCCTCACAGAGGCAATATTTGAGCTAAGACTTCACTGAGGAGCAAGAGAAAGTCCTTTAAGGGCCCAAGAGATAGTTATTCGGCACTGACTGAACAGCAAGTGCAAAGGTCCTGAGTTTGATCCCCAGTACAAAAACAAAAATTAGGGGCCGGGGATTTAGCTCAGCGGTTCGGTGGCCTGCCTTGCAAGCGCAAGGACCCAAGTTCAATCCCTGGTACCAAAAAACAAAAAACAAAAAAAAAAATTAAAAAAGAGCTGGAGATGTAGATCAGTATGAGTGGTTCTTTAGAGAAAGAAATTTTTTCCACCTTTAAGAAGACATAATGGAAGGGCAGGCTGAGATCTTTGGTCTTTCCATATTACTGTGTTTATATATGCTTGTATATGTATTTATATGCTATACGCAGAGTCTACTAAAAATGCATACACACTTCATCAGCTCATTGTACTAATAAATATCTGGAAACTAATGGCTACTCCTTTGAGCACCTCTTGTAACTGTAGAGAGCAAAGAACTTGTATTAATCTCATGTCTCAATAAATTTATTATTAAAATATGGATATGTTTTTCCTTATGTATACATTTTTGAGGGTGGACTCTATAAATATGGTATGATCAGAAAGCATGGTACATGTTTACATTTTTTTGGTTACTGTAGAAGACACCTTGCCTCCTTGAGATCCCACCCCCGGTGGGACACGCCATCCCACCGCATCATCTCCCCACTTTGTGCAGTCCTAGCTGTCTCCTCCTGAATCAGCTCGAAACATTAGTTAATCTTCCCAGGTCCCTTGAATCTGGGGAAGAGGTGGAAGTTGCTTGGGAGCAGATCTGGTGGTTAAGGCGGGTGTGGATGTGCTGTTGGGCTTTTACTTCACAGAAACCGCCCTACACATTTGATCAAGGGGGGATCATAAAATATGGTGAATGTTTCAATGTAAAATATCGTAGTAAAAAGATGCATTGCCATTCGTCCAAATCCCTCTTAGCACACATTCAACCCATCAATCTTGGCAATGTACTTTATACTGTAACAGTTTTTTTTAATTTAAAGACTTATTGTGCTTGTATTTCTTTCCTTGTTCAACACATATTCTCAAGCACTCTGTTGGGCCCTGGGCCACACATTAACAACCCAGAACTAAACACAGAACCTATACTTCAGTGGAGGAGGCAGCCTAGTAAAAAATAAATACAAGTAAATAAATCCTCATGCTCAAGTGGGGCAGACAGCTGCAAACAAGCAATCACAAGTGGAACAAGTTGTTCCAAGGTGGAGAGCAGGGTGCTTGAACTTTGCGTAATGGGAACAAACTCCCCCAAGTTGTGGACGTGTCCCCTGTGAGTTTAAATAGAGATCCAAAAGCTCAGCTGCACTTACGAGGTGTGGGCTTTCGGGAGTGATCACCAGGCGGAAAGAACCTTCCAGGTTCCCCTAAAAATTGCATAAATTGTAAGAGGGTGACTCTGGATGAAGTTAGAAGTATGGGTAGGGACCATAGTTCAGATTAGGGATCTGGAAACCTAAAACTTAGTATTCTAAGGACAATGAGAAGCCATTGAAGAGATGTCAGCAAAGATGCACCTGAAAAGATCACCCAGCTGCACTGGAGAACAGGTTGGGAGGAAAGCAGAATGGCTGCTTTTCAAGCAGAAGATGATGGTAGTTGGGACCAGAGTAGGAGCAGTTGGGTTGGACAGCAGTGGACAACTAAGGTGTGTGTAGATGTTGGGTGCATTCTCCTGGTTGATTTAACACAGACAATGAAGGCCAGGCATGTCCACAGCTCCCAGGTCGAGGCATGAGCAAGTAGGAACAGGGTAGAACAATTAACATAGCTTTAAAAAAAAAAACACACACACTGGAGGAGGAGCCAGTGTGGGGACTGAGAGAGCAAAGTCGAGTCCTATGGTGACAACCAACATTATGCTGCCCTAGTACGGTGAAACTGCACTGCCACAGGACAGGTCAGTAAAATGTCCTTAAATTTTTCAATTAAGGACACCAATTTATTTTGTCCCCTGAGTAGGCTACACATTCGTAAGGGTGTTTCTTCTGCGGATGATTTGTTTAAAGTCAGCTTGAACATCTGACTTTTACATTTGAGTTTCCCCTTAGACCTGCTTCTTGCTCTTTTTGCCTCTGCTTGTCCTGCAGACAGACTCTTTCTGGTGTTTTTCTTCCTCTTCGATCACTACCACCATAGTCCATGAAGAACGTCACTATTGTCTAATGTCCCACCAGACTGTAGGCGCTACCAGTGCCTAGCACAGCACAAGCCTTCAGTAAATACTCATCCAATGAGTGGATGAGACCAGTTTATAAATGAGTCCCCATGAATGAATCCCCGGAGCCTATTTATTAGTAATTATATGGACCAAAGGGAGTTTATTAATCTGGAAAAAAAATAGGGACCAAGTTTGGTGTGTTTTTGAACAAGGGCTACAGCTATTTTTCAGGGGAGGGAGGGTACCCTGCTTCATAGTGGCTCAGAGCAACTCAGTGGGAATGTGGCAGCAAAGCCAACTGGTCTACCAAGCCTGCCATTCAGTCCCTTGGAATGGCCCAGTCTGCTCCATCCTTTGGTCTTTAAAAGATTTTTGTACCTTGTACCCCCCAAAATTTGGCATCTTGGACTGAAAATCATAGTGAAAAGGGTGTAAATAAAATATATAAGGAATGGGTCTGACCTACAGTCAACAAAGAAGCAGGAAATTCAAATGTTATGTGTCAACCCTTGGGTAGAGAGCCACAAAGGCTAGGGTTTCAAGGTCAGTTCATTCTAGGGCCTAGGTCATAAAGGAAAAGGCAGCTTTGACTCACTTCCTGGTTGTTTCTTATTCCTTTTTTCAAAGGAACGCACAATATGTTTAAAAAGAAAAAAACAAAACTCATTCCCAGGCATGGAGGTCTTTATGAAATTCCTTGGCAACCCAGCTCCTGTTGCCACAACAAAACACCCAGCAGCTATAACACAGTAGCTCCGCCACACTTTAACACAGATGTGTTAGTTTGGGCAGCATAAATTTGAGGTCCAAATGTTTGACACCAATAAATAAATAAAAGATGAACTGGTGGCTGGGGATGTAGCTCAGTGGTTCCGCCACCTGCCTCACAAGCACAAGGACCTGAGTTCAATCCCTAGTACCCAAAAAAAAAAAAAAAGATGAACTGTTCTCCCAGGTGACCTGGACATGTCTCGTTCTTGCTCAGCATCTGTTGAGTAGTTTTCCAGCGATTCCTGAAACTCCCCCATTCCGGGTTCACGACCTTGAAGCAGAAATCAGAAACTCGCCCACCCTTCCTTGCACAGACGCCTGACTTGGTCTCTGCCAAGCAGACACACCCACGCTCCCGTGAGTTCACAAGAGACTCACGCGGGGCGGTGGACATGGCAGCGCCAGAGGTGACCCATTTAAAGGGCAGTGTGGCAAAGGTCCTGGAGCCGGAGTCTGTGTGTGGCAGGGACGGTGGCACTGGGGGATCTGCTGGAGCAGTGGTTTGGGTGTTGTTCTTGGCTGTACTGTCCCCCAGCTTGATTCTGACATTCTTGGAGCCTCTGTAAGCCTCCTAGCATTTAATACATTCCTTCTGTGCTTCCCTCGCTGGAAGAGCTGCTGTATGTGCACATAAGAACGCCAACACCTGCTAGGACAAAAACTATGCTTCCCCATTTTACATAATTAAAACACACTCGCCACTGCCTGTCTGTAGATGTCCCTTGATGCCTCCGCCTAGTCTCTTTCCCACTCTTCCACACAGCTCACCACCACCGGTGCCCCATTCCCTGGTCATCTCAACCACTCACCTTGCTTTCCATTTCAGTGAACAGTGACATGAACTTTCACAATTCCTGCTGCCAATCTTACCACCCACCTGCCAGCTTTCCATCATATTCCTAAAGATTCTCTGGGCTCCTCTCCTTGTGCACTTGGGCTAAATCTCACCCTTTCCCACTTTTCAAGGTCACTCAACTAAGGTGAGATGAAGCAGCAGTTACAGCCCAGAAACCTCACATTTGTGTGTACAAGGGTACATTGGGGTTTGAGAGCTCCGGGGTAGAGCCAGTTGTTAGCATGCACCAGGCCCAGGGTTTGGGGGAAAGGGGGCGGGGGAAGGGGAGGCCAGTGAGGAGGACGGGGAGGGGAGGAGGAGGAGACACTAAATTGAGTGTCTGAAGACAGGTTATTACCCTTGGCCATGATTAACCATTCCTGAGAAAGAGCAAAGAAGACCAAAGTCTTTCCACAAATAAGGCAGGGGCAGGGACCAACGTCAATTTCACTGCAGACCACCAAGGGAAAAAAATGTCTCTTTTGAGCTCCTGCATGCCAGAGGAAAATGATGTCCTCCACTTGTGTGCTGAGAAGGAAATGTGGATGACAATCTTGACGAGAAAGCTTGCTGAAGTGGCCAGGCTAGAAAGGCAGAAAAGGTACCCCAGATACCCATGAAGTCTTCCCCACTTTAGCTGTGCCCCTGATAAAGGACATACCCTAGGGGAGGAAGCTTTCCGAGGCCAGAAGTTTCACTATCAGCACCGTAAGTTTCAGATTCAGTCACAAAGCCCGACA